GAGACGTAGGCGTGTTCGTAGGTGACATGGCGGGGGACCGTGGCCAGGTGATGAGGCGGGGACGAGGCGAGCGACGGAGAGGGGGCGAGCGCCGGGGCGGGTCGTGCCGGGGGGTCGTGGGTGGGTGGTCGTTGTGGTGCAGGGGAGCAGTCGCAGCTCGAGCAGGGCCTCGGCTCGCCAGGAGCCGGGGGAGGGACGGGGACGAGCAGCACAACAGCGGCGCGTCCACCACCGCCTCAACCCCGACGCTCGCTCTCCAACAGCTCCAGCCAGCTCAGCAGCACCCCCAACAGCCAGCACATCAGCACACCCTCGTCCGACCAGCAAGCCCGTTCCTCCCGTCCCTGCCGACCTAGCCCTCCTCATCTCTCGCCGTCATGGCCAAGGGCTCCAACCCGGTCGACGCTCACCGCAAGGCCCAGCGCAAGCAGGAGCTCAAAAAGAACAAGCAGAAGCGCGAGACTACCCGCGAAATCTCGACCGTAAAGACCGACACTCGCCGTGCGTCCGCCTCCCCCTCTCCCTCTCTCTCCTCTGCCCCGTCCTCGTTGGGCACGACGAGCTGATGGCTGGGTTTACCGCGCACAGCAATTGAGGCCGAGATCCGCCGCCTGACCCAAGAGTCGCAAAAGGCCCCGCTCAGCAAGACGGACAAGGACGAGCTGTCGCGGCTCCGGGCCGACCTCGCGCGCCTCAACAAGGCCAAGCAGGAGTGTGCGTCGACCGGTTCTCCTTCCCCCTGCCCGGCGTTCGCGCACGACGGGCGCAGAACGCAGGGCTATGATCGGCAGCGCCGGGCGCACTCGAGCTCACGATCCCTTCTCGCACGCCGCCGCAGACGTCGACAAGCACCCCGAGCACCGCAAGTATGTCTTCCCCGAGCGCGCGACCGACCCGTCCGACGCCACGCACCCGTCCGACGAGCCCGCCGGCCTGTACGACCGCCAAGGCCGCCTCAAGCACCCCGAGCGCTCGCTCTACTTCGACCCCGTCTTCAACCCGTACGGCGCACCGCCGCCGGGCATGCCGTACCGCGAGAAGCCCGAGTACGCCGCCATGCGGTTTGCCGGGCCGCCAATGCTCGTGGGCCCGAGTCGGGCAGAGATCGATGCGTTCGTCCCCGTGGCAGACGGTCCGTCCCAGCGCTCGTTCCTCTTTTCCCGCCTTCCTCGCGCGTTTCTTGACCTCGGATCCTCTCCCTGCAGCCTCGAGCGACGACGACGACGACGACGACGACGACGATGACGACATTGCCATGCCTGCGGGCCCGCCGCCGACGGGCGCGCCTCGAGCCGACGACGGCGGCGCCGACTCGGACTCGGACGACTCGGACGACTCGATGGACATTCCGCTGCCACCTGGCCCGCCTCCTCCTCGACCAGGCTGTGCGTCCTCCCGTCCCTCTCTCTGTCACCCCCTCTCGTGACCCAGACTGACCCCCTCGTTTGTCGCCCGCAGCCGAGCCGGCAAAGACGACCTCGCGCCCGACCATCTCTCGCCCGACGGCCTCGTCCTTCTTCCCGCCTCCTCACCACACGCCGCACGCCCTCCCCTCTCGACCCGCCTTTGCCGCCGCCGCCGCACCCCAGCACCCGCACCACCTTCCTCCTCCTCCTCCTCCTCCGCCGCCCGGCCACCCTCGCGGCGCACCCACGCACGCCCAGGCGCGCCTTCCCGCCCGCCCACCGCCCGCCGCGGCGCACATGTCGGACCCACTCGGTGCGCCGGGCGCGGGCCCACAGCGCGCGTTCCAGCAGGGCCGCGCGCCGTCGTCGATCGGGCCCGTCCAGCCCGACCCTTCCTCCTCCTCTTCCTCTTCTACCACCTCGAGCGCTCCCGCTCCCGCCGCCCCAAGCCCCTTCCTTGCGCTCCCCGGCGCAAGCTCGAGCGCGAGCGCCTCGGGCGCGACCATCAGCGCTGCGCCCGTCCTGCGCGACCTCAAGAAGGAGGCGACGGCCTTTGTGCCCGCCGCCATGCGCCGCAAGATGGCGCAGCACAAGGCGACACTTGCGCGTGCCGGCTTGACGAGCGTCGATGCGGCGCGGGGGGCGGGCGAGGGGACGCGTGAGGGGGAAGGAGGGGAGGGAGAGGGGGCGGGTGAGAAGAAGAAGAGCTTGGTCGAGGAAATGAGGGATCGAGGGATTGGGGTTGGGGCGCCTGGGGCTGCAGCTGGCGGGCAGGAGGGGGCAAAGGGCAAGACGGACCGGGGCAAGGAGGACTATGAGCGGTTCAGGGCCGAGATGGGCGACTTGCTGTAGCGCGCTCGAGCCCGTTCGAGGCTGCCACGAGGTCGCTTTTCCTGGCCGACTCTCTCTCTCTCTCTCTCTTCGTTCACACGCGAGGTGGAGCGCGAGAGAAAGTGATACAGCTCGCCGAGAGCAACGTCTAGTGGCGCCTCCTCCTCACAACCGTCCTCCCCCTCCCGACCGAACCAGCGCTCCTCCGCACTGGGTGGTACACGGCCTTCCTCCTCACCTTCATCGCCTTCCTCGACCGACTGGACCTCCCCCTCGCCCGCTGCCGCTGCGCCGCCGCCCTGTGCGCCGCCGCCGCTCGAGCCGCCCGAGCCTGCGCCTCGCGATGCCGCCTCGCCGCCTCGTCCCGCTCATGCTGCTCCTTGTCCCTCGCAAGCCTCACCTGCTTCTCCCTCCTCTCCTTCCGCTCCCGCTCCTTCCTCTCCCGCCGCTCCGCCGCAGCCTTAACCTTGTCCTCCTCGCGCCGCCGCCGCTCAGCCTTAGCGCGCTCCCGCTCACCGACGAGCCGCGCATGCTCGGCCGCGTCGTGCTGCGCGTGCGCAGCGCGCTCGCGCTCGGCGTGCGCGTGCTCGGCTTGGCGACGCGAGGCGCGCACGGCGAGCTTGCGCGCCCGACGCGCCGCTTGGGCCTCCTGGCGCTGATGCGCCTGCGCCTGCTCGTGCTCGTGCTCGTGCTCGTGCGGGTGCGAGCTCGAGCTCTCGTGACCGTGCGCGTGCGCGTGAGAGTGCGCATGAGCATGCGCGTGCGCCGCGGCCTTGCGCTCGAGCTTCTTGGCCTTGACCTCCTGCTTGACACGCTTGCGGCGCGCGCGCTCGGCGGCGACGACTTGCTGGCGGGCGTGCTCGGCGGCCGGGTCGGGCGCGTGAGCGTGAGGGTGGGCGTGGGCGTGGGCGTGGATGTGGGCATGGTGCGCGGCGGGATCGTGGGGAGGAGAGGGGGAGGAGGTGGCGTGTTGGGAGGCCGAGGAGGCGTGGTGCGTGAGGGGAAGGTGGTGGTGGTGCGACGGCGCGCTCGAGCTGTGCGACCGGCTCGGCGACGACTCGTGGTGGTGCGCCGGAGCGTGCTTGTCCGAGTGCGAGTGCGAGGGAGCCGGGCCGTGCGGGGTGCTGCTCGAGGCGGTGGGCCCGATGGAGGACGAGTGATGGTGAGCGTGGTGGGCCGGCTTCGTGGCGGCAGAGGTGTGTCGCGAGAGCGGCTCGTGGGGCGAGGACGGCTTGTGCTCGGCGACATGAGCGTGCAGGTGAGGGGCGAGATGATGATGATGCTCGGTCGCGGCGCCGTGTCCTTCTCGGCGCGACTTGGCCGACGTGCTCGAGGCGTGACGCTCGACCGGCGGCGGCGGATGTACGCTGTCCCGCCGCTCATGCCGCTCGGGCGCCGCCTTGTGCTGCTCGAGGAAGCCGTGATGGGCGGCCTGGTGATGCGCGACCTCGTGCTCGGGCTTGACGTGTCGGCTCGCGAGGAGGGCGTGCGCGTGTCGAGCATCTGTCAAGGGTCAAGAAGGGCACGAGGGTGTCAGGCTCGGGCTCGGGAACGTCGGGCTGGTTGAGAAGGTCGAGGAGAGAGAGAGAGGTGGACGCACGGTTGGCGACGGCGGCGGCGTGCTCTGCCGAGCCAGGGACGTGTCGGTCGATCTCGGCGTGCGATTCTGCGACGAGGAGAGCGCGAGGGTCAGTGAGCTCGACCCGTCGAGGTGCTCGAGTCGAGAGAGGGAGGCTTGAACGCACCGGCATGAGCGTGCCGCAGCTGACCGTGAACGTGTCGAGTGTGCTGCTTCTCGTGCTCGTCGACCTTGGTCTGGTACCGAGCATGTCGCGCCTCGGCCTGCTTGATCTCGTCGAGCGGCGCGCCACGTTGCCGCAGGTGGTCGAGCTCGTCCTTGCGCTGCTGGAGCTTGGCGCGTCGGCTCGTGAGGAGGGCGTGCGAGTGTCGAGCGTCTGTCAAAGGTCGAGAAGGGCAAGAGGGAAGGGCACGAGGGCGTCAGGCTCGGGCTCGGGAACGTCGAGCTGGTTGAGAAGGTCGAGGAGAGAGAGAGAGGTGGACGCACGGTTGGCGACGGCGGCGGCGTGCTCTGCCGAGCCAGGGACGTGTCGGTCGATCTCGGTGTGCGATTCTGCGACGAGGAGAGCGCGAGGGTCAGTGAGCTCGACCCGTCGAGGTGCTCGAGTCGAGAGAGGGAGGCTTGAGCGCACCGGCATGAGCGTGCCGCA